TTATTGAGACTAAATTTATTCATACAAGTTACCTTGGCCTCTACAATTATAAGAGTTGCTCAAAGTGGTAGCCATTAGCTTCTAGACATTTATTAGTGCAGTGAACTGTTGAAGTGTGTATACACTTTTTGGGCACTCTCTCTCTCTCTCTCTTTCTCTCTCTCTATATATGTATATATTACATTTACCAATTTCATATAAATGAAATCTTATAGTTTGAGTTCTTTTATGTCTGGCTTCTTTCACTAAACATATTTCTGAGATTCATCTATATTGTAGCATGTACCAATATTTTTTTTTTGCTTAATAATATTCTATTCTTTGGCTATATACTCACACATTGCTTAATAACAGGGGCATCTGAGAAATGTGTCTTTAGCTGATTTCATCATAAGGTAAACATTATTGTATATACTAACACGAACCTAAATGAGTTCAATCACCTAATGTGATGGTGGCCTCCTCCTCTTCCTCTTTTTCGTCTTCTTCCTGCACCTCCTCTCCTCCTCCTGTCCTCCTGTCCTCCTGTCCTCCTCCTCCACTTGACCTTGAATTCAGGTCAACTGAACTAATCTGTGACATTTCTTTAGTCATCCAAGAGGTGTTGTCAAACACACCACTTAGAATCTAGGGACAAGTTTAGGACAGAAATTCAAGAAGGGTATTCTGGGGAACACGGGTAAATACTTCTGAAAGTTATTGAAGGCAGGGATCTAAACGAGACCAGAGGGATCTTTTTACTGAACTTCAATGGAAGTTTCTTAAAAGTTTTGTAATATATGTCAAGCTGCTCTAGTATAAGAACAAGAATAAAATTTTATATTTAAAGTGCTCCTTTAGGCAGGTGTGGTGGTGGTACTTGTAATCCCAGCACTCAGGAGCCTGAGGCAAGAGGATAAAGTCTGAAGCCAGTCTAGGGCATATAGTAAGTTCAAGGCTAGCCTTAACTACACAGCAAGAGTCTGTCTCAAAAACAAAAATAATAATTGAAAAATGAAAAAAGCTCCCACTTCACAAGGCTGCTTTGAAGTGATATTTGATTACTTAATATAAAAAATGTACCATTTCAAACTCATTCTTAAACTAGAATTTCCAATGTGGCCTATTAACTATAATAATCAGGTGTATTAATGAATGATTACTATCTATAGTAGTATAGACATATATTTATATAATATATAGTGTAGCATCATTTAGAGAAAATGTTTCTAAAAGGGGGATCCTAAAAATATCAGATATCTGAAGGACCTAAATTTAAAAATCATCCAGATATACAGAAAGATATTATTTATTTCCATGTCTTAAAGGCTTAAAACTCAGATGTTCTCTTTTGTTCTAAAGATGTATCTATCAAAAAACAGACAGAGGAAACATGGCCTAATGAAATCTCAAATTCTATATCTTAATTTAGGTATGTTATTTTCACTTAAATATATGTAATTAATGGATTATGTCCTATCTAGTCCTCAGAGAACTCACCAAAGTGACTTCTACGTGAGTGAATCCTAGGAATTCCAAGACTAGTAAAATATCTCACTTCATCTTATCTTAATAAAAGTTGTAAGAGGAGGAGTTGGCTTAAGGACTTAATAAAGAGGTAAGAAGAAAATATGTATAAATTCTAGAAAAGCATAAACAAAAGCCATGCATTGAATATGCAGAATGTGTTCAAGGACATACCGTTTTAAGTAAGAATGCTCAGCCACAGAACAAGTTGAAGAAAGCCTCGCATTGGAGTGGTAATTGAAAAAACTTTGATACCCTACTTTATTGAGTACATAACATCATTTCAGCAATCAGGAAAACACATCATCATGTGAACTATTAGACCACATCTGGAATACTGGACCCAAATCTATATTTCTGGAAAGCCACATTTAAGTATGCAGCCCACATCTGTTCTCAAAAATATGTTCTATTACTTTGCTATTACACAAACAGCATGTACTAACAAAGTGAAGAGAAAGACAAAAACTTAGAGGAAAAACACAGGAATAATTTGAAAGATGTCAGATTTCAATAACATGATGAAATGAAAGGAACTAAATATATCAGTTGAGAGAAACTTCATTCACAACTAACTCTTAAGTTTGTAAATAGAGGAAGAAGGAAAATCGATAGTGGCTGGAAAACATCAGAACTTGGTAGGTAAAAAGAATAGAGTAAGAAGAAAAACTTATTCCTTTAAAATTTCTATTATGGTATTTCATTTTGGGTAGGAGAAAAACTATCTAAATGGAGAAATCTCCTGGTAACTGGTTATTCCTTTAGATATTTTAATTTTTTCATAAAAGCTAACAGTCTAGGAAAGAGGGAAATACTGTAAGAAGATACTGATTAGAATTAGAGAGAACATTTAATGGGGTACAGCTCAGGCTTCAGTGTCTGTGAAAAAAATGGCAGGGACTTGTATAACATGTCCCAAATGATTATTTGTCAATAAAATGCATCCTAGCTGTGTCATTTGGTGTACCCTTTGTTAGTTCAGCTTTTTGAAAATGGTTTCTGGATGTTGATTGGTGACCACCTTCACTCAAAAGATTGCCACCATTATATTCTGTATTTTTACTCAGATTTTAATACAGCTGGTCTATGAAAACTTTACATAAGAAGGCTTTGAAGGAATAAAGAAATCTCCATCTCTAACTGCAGAATTCCTGTGTTTCAGGCAAGTATTTGTTGTTGCTTTCCTATTATTGTGAATCTATCCGTGACTGTAGGATGCTGAGTGCATTATGGAGGGTGCATTGAAGATAAAGTGAATGTTTTCTCAGAGCTTTTGTGCTCAGTTATTTTCTAAGATGTTATTTAATACCACGTGATGCTAATAGAGTAATGTGAAGTATACAAAGCAGAGTGGAGAATGCCCTTTTCTATATTCTTTCCTGAGTCTTGAATGCCAGCTTGCTGTGATTATTACATTTTGTTTACTTCCTTTGTATCAACAATAGACTTCCAACACAGTGTAAATTTACCTATGATTTACATCTTTGTTTTATGCAGTGAATGGAACACTGGATTATCATTCAAAGGACCTTATGCCATTCTCTACATTTGTCCCTCTGGACACTATTTTAAGCTGCTTGAGAATATATATGCCTTTAGGGCAGGGAGAGGAGGCTGGATAACTGGGAGTGTATTCAATATAGAGGCCGCTGTGGTAATAAATGACTTGATCCCATTGATTTCATTTCACAATAACAAGTATTTTAATTTAATCTGTTTATTTCCCTATGAAATCAAATGAAATGTTTCTTCCCCCATCTAATTCTCACTTTGATTCATGTTAATAATTTTTCTCCTTAAATATAGAAAGTCCAAATTTAACAAATGAATTACACTTTGCACCACTTAAGAAGTAGTGTGGAAGCTAGCCGTTCATTGGGGTTTCGTTCCCATTCATCTACATTCTTATGCCCATCTTTCCTTTTTGCTGTTTCCTGCCATATTTACTTTGATCAGATCAAATCAGATTGAAACCTCTGGATAACATCCATTCTTAATTCTGTTCTTTTGTTCACATAATTCCCCTTTTTTCAGTTTTAAAAAACTTAAATGATTTTATTACGGTGTATTTCAAGGATACAGAAGAAAGCAGAAAATGAAATATGTAGTTTTACATCAACTACCAGCTTTGACACATTAGCCTTTGATCACACTTGATCTTTCCCCCCTTTGGTTTTGTTTTAAGAAAAAGTTCTGCATAGAAAAATCTTATTCCTCAGCCTAACCATTTGTTTCTGTTATTCAACAAACATTTTCTATTGAGCACAAAGTATATCCACAGGCCATGCTAGGATGTGGAGAGTTTGGGAAAATTAATCAAGAAGTCTTTTAAGCCCCGCAAGGACTGGGGATGTAGCTCAGTGATAGAGGGCTTGCCTAGCATGTGTGAGGTCTGGGTTTAATCCCCTGCACAGGGTTGGGGGAGGGGATTACCGTACAATGATCTTTTTCTGTTTATATCCTGTCTTCCCCTTTAAAGCCTTCCTGATAATATTCTGATAGGCTGGCCTCTCTCCTGCAGACATCTCAGGTGACTATCATCTGTGTGCTAGAGCTGGCTGTACTGACTTGTGAGAGTTAGCTATGGCTATCTATTCTCAACTCTGCATTCAGTGACTGCATTCTCAACTCTTGCATCACAGTGCAAGTATTTACATCACAGAAACTGGTAAAAACTACAACTCAGGGTTAGTTTATTTTTGTTTTTTGAGGAGAGCTGATTTACCAGCACATAAACACACTGGCTTGTAAATATAACTATCAAGCATACTTAAAGTGCTTTGGTAAACAGAATTTAAATAAAAACCCTGTAATCTCCTTCAGAGATAGAATCATGTTTTACATGACTTTCTTCGACTCCAAAGTGTAGTGCAATGGTAGATATTTCATAAATACGTGTTGATCCTTCTAAAAGAGTATGTTCATTTCTCCTCTTGCCATAGTAATTCATTAATGACATCCACTTTGCCTTGTGTTTTTGTTATTCTCAATTTTTAAATGCTGTTGTTTGAAAGGACTCTGATAGTGAATTGCTGCCCCTTTTCTGTGAGGTAATTTCATAAACATCAAAATATCAAGTACTTGCAGCCCAGAGAGATACATCCCAGCAAGCGACAGTCTCCCAGTCTCCTGACATCACCAGGCACCTCTGAGCTCTGTGCCACAGTTCCTGCTCAGTCTGTTGTTCTCAGCTGTATTCTCTGTACACACCCTGTATCCCTCAGCAGGTTTCCTTTGGAGATCTACACTGATGCTGTTTAGCTCCTGAAAATCTTGAGAGAAGGATGGATGGATGTGAGGCATGTGCTTCTGCACCAACAAAGAGTCCCTGGCTGGGACCAGAGATCTATCAGAGTGAGGTGGAGTTATACGCTATCCTTAACAGTCACGTATAAGTTTCTCAGAGTCCTAACTTTTTTTTTTCTTTCATTTTCAGCAATTCTCATATTGCAGACCATGATCAGTCCTCCTTCAATTCTCATGCAGAGACAGAGATTCTCATGGATCTGGGGTTATCTGTAAAAAGGCTACATTCTGTCCTGCTTCAGGGGTCTTTAAAGAAACCAAAGATAATTAATTTTTTTCCTCTTCTGTTTGGCTTCTTTCTTCAGTAAACCACTGTAGTGTTCAATTACCTTGTCTATTTTTATTTTTTTAATGTGCCTTGTCTCCTTTATTCTAGGAAAACTTTATTCTAGAGGGTAAACAATGATTATATCTTTGTTCAGAATTTTTTAAAGCTACTCACTGGCTTTCTTTTTGTCAATTTGAGAGTAAGGTGGGAAGGAGTACAGAGTACTTTATGCTTTATGTTATGACAGTTTACTTCAATTCATGTTACTTTAATAAATGAGACAGCATCCACTTCCTGTTCTCATCTTGCCAAAATTCCCAACATTCAGATCATTTGGCTCACTTTCAATCTAAAGTTGTTCCCTCAAATTCATTCTTCTGCTCTCTGCCCTTGTGGTAGCTTTTAATAACCTCTAAATCCTAGGGGAGGAAGTAAAGGCAATAAACTTGTTTTCCCACTTTGTTTGTAAAATGGTTGCAAAATTCTCACTATGGAAAGAAAAAGCTTGGCAGAGGTGACTTCTTTCTCATTATGTTAATGACAGGTGAGGAAAATGTGGCCCTCAGGCCTCCCCACCTTGTGGGCCCAGGGCATGCCCAGACTAGCTTCACATCTGTAGGGTACGCATCATTGTCAAGCCAGCCTCTGTGAAGACAGTGCATAGCTGGCTGTGCTGGAACCCAGTTCCATGCTGGTTTCCTGACTCTTCACGAATCACAATCTTTCTTTTCAGGGCTTAAATTTTTCTTTATTTATAGAGTAACTGAATCTTACCACCACTCCCAGATCCATCAAACTTTCTTGGCTTGGCTAAAACGGAGAAAGCAGAAGATATTCATTTTTCTGAACCATTGATTTACAAGACTGAGGAGAGTCTGAGGAAACACCTGAAACCACACATGGTTTGGTGAAACAACCAGAAACCAGGACGAGCAAAGGGTCCCTGGCAGGGACCACAAGTCTATCAGCTGGAAATGAAGTAAAATTCAACAGTGAGATTTCAAACATTTAAAATTTCCCACAAGATCTATTAAAGGGAAATTCAAGGGTGAAATTTCAAAAAAAAGTTTCCTAGAATAAAGGAGACCAAGAACATTTTTTATAATTTGAAAATAGACAAGGCATTTGAATGCTAAAGAGTAATGAAGAGAGAAGCCAAACAGAAAACAACCTGAAAGTTCTCTATTGTTTGAGTTCAGACCTGGACAGTAGATGAAGAACACTAGAAACCAGATTAATAGTTCTGAAAAATGAGGAGTGCTGCTGAGAGAAAAATCCCAATAAAGGAGACTTAAAAGACAAACCAGCCCCATCAACAGGACCCAGACAAAATTCATTTCAATATTCAGTTCAATAAATGTTTGTTGTGTGCCTGTTTGATGACATCCTGTGCTATCAACCTTAGTTTTCCATGTTTTGTTATCTGTGATAAAAGAAGATAAGAACACTGACATATTTGGAAGTAGGACAATTTTACAATGATAATAGTGTTAACATCTTTAGAGAAACGACTAATTTTGGATATTCAGTTTGGCTTACTTTGTACATACTAACTAGTGCTACCTAAGACATTGGTATAAGATTCCTAGAAATCTTAAAATTTTCCAAAAGAGAAATTATCAGTGTAATATGATAACTTTTATGTGAAATGCTATTATTTTCAAAAAAAAATTTTGGCATTACATTTGATATAGTCACTCGACAGTGCTAACTTCTCATTTCTTCTGGTCATGTTTACTTAAATGTATCCACTCCAGAAGCATTTACCAGATTATAAATTTTGTATAATTCCACATTCAGGTGTGGTAACTATGTTAACACTTCCATCTTGTCTTGTTATCCCCAATAAAGGTATCAACTCCCCAGAACATGTAACAAAAATATTGGGGGGTATGAAGTTAAGCAGAAACTCATAAATCATGAGTTCTTACCCTTGCCCAAATCTTACCACCTTACGTTGATTCTCAGAAATCCTGAGATGATATGATAGTTACTGTGCTTCATTGTAGTTGCAGTGTCACTGGAATTTGCCTATGTCAACTTCTGCTCATGGAACATTCTATCACAGGAACAAGTCTTTGTGAGAAAGAGGTAGAGGAGAGTTTCAGTGGACCTCAGTTGGTATCACTAGGCACATGTCATCCCAGAGGGGAGACTTTTAGGAGCAGTAGTGGACACAAATCACCCAAGATAGATCGCTCATGTTAAATGAAGGAATATAATGGAAGTTACCAAGAATTGATGGAACCTTTCCTACACAGCCTTGCATTCCATCTCTTCCATGGTGTTGGAAGCAAATCTACCTGTTGCTGAAAATTCTCTGGTATGGTAGATACACAAAGAAACATAAATAATCAGATGTGAATCCAGGAATGGTAGCACATTCTCTGATCTCTGCATTTTGGGAGACTGAGGTAGGATGTCAGAGATTTGAGCCTATCCTAGGCAACTTAGGGACTTGGTAAGACCTTGTCTCAAAGTAAAAAATAAATTTTTAAAAAAGAACTGAGAATGTAGCTCAGTGCAAAGGCTCTGTGTTCAATCTATAGTACCAGAAAAGAAAAAGAAAGAAAGAAAAGAAAA